AAAAAAAATTTATTATATGAGTTTTGTAATTACTGTTCTCTCTATTTAGCCGTGAGCGCGAACGAGAATAAAAGAAACGAACGCGAGATCGATATTTTGGAAACTCGTCGTCGGTGTTCGAAAAGACATCAACTTCCGCTGATGAATTTTTGGTTACTCCGAGATTCGCGTTAAATTCCACCTTCTGTGTGTTTACCGAAAAGATTTCCAGACAAACCTTTAGCACGTCGATGGATTCCCCTTTGTCACCTGTCATCACGACATCACTCTCCGAGATTTGGAATCGAGGGCGATTGAGTGATTCCTCAATCAGGATCTTCGGGATAAAAGAGGGGAACTTATCAGCATGCCAAACATTTGCTTGTAAATCCCTCCATTAAGGGTAAAAAATGATGGGATTTAGCACGAGTCTTTGAAAAATCAAAAGTTTATCAAAGCGAGTGTTGGTAATTTTTATCTGCATTTCCCAATGTGACAAATGTTTATACCGTTATCGCATATGCTATTTGTTTCACGTTCATCTAACTGCAAACATACTCCAACAGACAATCCAATTTGACTCGATGAGCATAATTGCGTCATGCATTTCCGATCTTTTATTACGAATCGATATGGAATGAATATATATATATATAACAATAAATTACAACATTAGATAAGATAAAGAGAAATAAACAAGAGGAGGCATTTCGGAAGCGACGGTTTCGATCGAGTAACGTTTTGTCCCGGCCCCACTGATGGCGTACAGCACTCACACAACGTGCGGGAAACAACGAGCAAAGTTCGTGCGGCGGCCTTCCTCCGCGGAAGGTAACCGAATGTGGTGAAACGGCGTGCATAAGGTGCCATCCTGCAGAAAATTCCGGCCGAGCCGCAGCGGCAGAATGCTCGTAAGGTACGGCGAAATGTTGGAACGACCAGGAGCCGTTGCATTTTTATCCGGGATGGTGCCGACGCAGCAGATGAAAGCGGTTATGTCGGCTCTCTATTGCCATCCTTTGTCTCCCCCTCCCTCCCGTATCCAAGACGTTCCTTAACAGCCGCGGCGACTCCATCCCTCGACTGCTTGCCCACCCAGCCCTCCTTCCTCTTCCCTTTTCCCTTCTCCTTCTACTCCTCACCGCCGCCGTCGTCATCTTTTCCGCTTCTTCCTCTTTCGCGACCTCAAAGCCAGTTCTATTTTGGACCATCCGAGGTATATTCAGGCACACTGGCGTACGACCAAATGCCGTGATACACCACCCCCGCGCTGCAACACGCCGTATAACGTGTTGTGCCGCATGGCGAATCCCTCTCGCTCTAATGTTATTGCCAAACCGACCGCCATCCTCTTCCCCGTGGTGCTCTGCATTACGCGGCACTGCATTCCTTCTTCAGCCGGCAGGGAGGGAGCGGTTTCCTCCGCGGCTCGTAGGTATTTTGTCTCGGCGAGGGAGTCCGGTCGAGATTTAAATCCGATTATTATGCCCGGTTACTACGGCGCTCTCCGTCGTTTTCTAAGTTTATCAGAGCTTAACGAGAGAGAGAGAGAGAGAGGGGGAGATCCATGCGACGGTAAAGCAATTGTATTCCGCATCGCGGACGCGCTCACGCACGAAAACGTTAATATGATCTTTATGGCTCAAATGAAGAGCGATTACACTTACTGTTTGACGTAACATTTTGTTGATATCGCTGCATTGATATCCGAGTCCCGGCGGTAATTAATTGCGTAACGTAATGTTGTATAATTAATCACACACGCTGTTATAAATGAAATTGCGCGATGTCCGCGCTCCCTGAAAGCTCGAAATTTACTTCCCTAATAAAGTAAATATTTCCCGGCGCCAGTGCGGAAATGCATAAATTAGCCTTTATTGCCGACAGCAATTCGATCGGAGAATATCAGCGTCGATTGTTGCTGATAACTCGCTCACTGATCAATTTGATTTCTCTGCCCCGAGTCGAAATTTTATACCTACTTCGACACGAATTCGCCAGCATCTGTAGACTACGGGGGATCAATGTAGGTTGAATTTATATGAAAACTTTAGTCCTACTTAGCGCTTCTAAATGACAGGAAACGCACAAAACGTTACTGCACGTTCTAAAAAGAGGCAAGTAAAACCCTCCAGGTTCTCAGAACTTAACCCGTTCCTTTAATCTCATTAAAATAATATATTCGTTATTGCTTATTCAAGGAGACAATTTTGCATTTGATAGCAATACTTTCTTATATGAATATCACGTACACCGCCGTGGGTTCGAGCTCACGCGAAAATTTATAATGACCCGGCGGCGCGTCGGATTACGACTCATGAGTAAAACGAGATGTTTTATTAAAACCGTGCGACAGCCGATAATCAAATACATCAACCGGCGAATCGGGCCGATAAAAATCGGGAGAAGCGAGTCGCGGTGTGCGTATCAGTGTGCCGCGCTGCGGTATTCCGCCGTCGATTTAATTACCGATTAATCTATACTTCTTTTGTTCTCTTTGAATAATGTCTACGTTCGCTCGACCAGAGATCGCTCGTGTATCACCGCGCTTGTTTTAATAACGACGATAAATCTCGAGTCCCTTCGCCACGCCGACGGAATATTCGAGACTCTGCGCCATTGCCTCCTTTTTTTGTCGTCCAGATTATTGGACTCCTCGCAGTCTCGATGTCACGTCGACGGGATGTTCTCGATTGTATTCGACGGCACTGCTAGTCGTCATGAATCAAAGAAATCCGCATGATTTGATGCCGCCGGATATGGAGAAAAAGTCCGATAAGAAAAAAAAAAAGAAGAGACAAGCGGACGTCTTAAGATTGCGCTCAAGCGGTTAACGTTCCCGATCGATGCGACGCGACTGCAAAATTACTACGAGGTGTGCGGCGATCGCAGCGATTACCTTCAAAGCTCACGATATGCGATAATGTATGTATCGGCGCATGCATGCGATTATCACATATAATCAGGTAATTGCAGGCGATATCGCGTAAAAAGCCCGGCGCGCGATACATACATCGCGCGTATTATTGCAGGCCTCGCTGAATTGCGGACGATTCCTCCGTCGAAAGAGCCGGCGGCGATAAGATTAAACTGAAATTGGTGCAATGCTCTGAATCGCTACTTAGGACGTTATTAAAAGCGGCTCTAAGCCGCGGCGGCGGTGGATGTCTCACGTTTTTGCGGAGCCGCGAATCGATTTTTCGCGGCGCGGCCGGCGGTAACAAATCATCCGGGGGTATCATTTATTCCCAGGCGTTCCTCGACGAAGCTAATACACGCCGAGGCATCTCGCGGAATGGCCAATGGGAAAATGGTAACTGGATATAGACCGGAAATGACTACCAGCCGATAACCGGATATCTAATATCCGACCGTTTGGCCGGCCGAGTGCCGAAAAATATGAGAATCGGATAAGCCGCGGCACGCTGTCCGGTAACCATATTCATCGGATTGCGCCTTTCGTTCACCGACGTTGCAAAAGTTTCGGCTCGTCATCGGACGAACGAGAAGTTTCCTCCCGCGAGCGAAGCCTCGCGACTGGATGTTCGCTCGAGAGCGGCGGAAGGATCAATAATGCCCGGCTATCCTTCATTTTAATTCTGCGCGATAGATGCGGCGTGCAACGCGACATGTTCACGCGAATGTCGATCGATTGAGATTTCAACGGTTGATCCTTCCTGAAATTCACTAATGTCCCCGAAGAGAGTTGCGCGCGACTTTCACGTTAATACAACGAGGGAAAATGCGAGAAAGAGAATGGGTAATCAGAGAGAATTACGTAGCGCTCGGCTTAAAACGGATACGTCCTTTGAGTCCTCCGAGCGCTCGTCGCATTGCTCTGTTTAAAAATGATATAAAAAACAAAGGTGTAAAAATCGCCGTGTCTCTCATAGCGTCCAGAAAGAATATATTCACACAAGAAATAAAAGTCCGCACATATATTATAATTCATAAATTATCAGTCGAAGAAAATTTCAGTTGGAGAACACGCGAAACTGACAGCGATGATATTTTCTTCTTTTTTTCTTTTATTATAATACTTCCTCTCTTCCGTGAAAGGACGGATCGCGTTCATTATTTGCTTTTATCTTAATCGAGATCTAATGGAGAAATGTTTCTAAACGAGAGAAACGGAGAGAAAGCGGTCAGGGGAGAAAAAAAGGACCGAGAGAGAGAGAGAGAGAGAGTGATGAGGGACGGAGGAAGGGAGCGTGAATGCTCGTCGCAGCTAATATCCTATCACTGGTACGGTATCGATGATAATTAATAATAATTGCGTGCCGCTCGAGTAATCGAGCATCCATTAGCGCCATTACGGCCATCGTCACGTTACCGCCCTTCGTGCCGCATGCTCTCCCTTCCGCTCCATTAACTTTATTATCATCGCGTCGTAATGTATTATTATGTATTACGACGTGTTACGTGTTCGAGTAACGCGGTCGTGGAGCGCCGAGCGACGTGAAATAAGTCGTACGGCGCCGGCGCTGATTTACGCGAGATGAGTGCGCGTTCCGCGCGGGCCTCCTCGGATTTTAAGACGCGCGTTCGCGGTCGGGCGTATCGGCTAAATGACGCCGTCCTGACAAATGCTCGTTGTGACAACTTTACCCTCCCTGAGAAAGGCCGCAGTTATCGAGTGCGCGTGCAATTACCTACGCACTTTACGCTGCCATGATGAAGCGTCTAAGAAGCGTGCTCGCGCTCCTCCATACTCCCGCGAAATTTCGCTTACGCTTTGGCGTTTCCGCGCCTCATTGAGAAAACATTGCGCGACATGGGCTGGAAATTTTCGAACGTTGGCTCGTTCGTTCATGTTGGCTCTCGTGTTACATTACAGCACTGTCCAATTCTGAACCTCTTTAACCTGTGCACACATACGCGTATCCGTCAACCCAAACGGCAGAGAAGTCTGCCTGTGGATTAAAGGACATCGGAAAATTTGGAGAGTTTCAAGGTTCCCGAGAGGTTCGCGACCGTGAGTCGTCTTTCGATAATCCAATAAGCCGCGCTTTTGACTTCAGGTATCCTGGATGAGGAGCAAGGACCTACACATCCTTACTTCGGGAAATTTTGCGTTCAGCTCGGACGCGCGATTCGGACCTCAGCATGCACCAGGAAGCGACGCCTGGACCCTCAGGTTGGACAACGCCAGGAAGACGGATTCTGGCAAGTACGAGTGCCAGGTCAATACGGAGCCGAAGATCATGTATGCAGTGCAGCTTTCGGTGCGAGGTGATTGTCGTTCCTCTTTACATATCGCGCTTCCCGTTTGCCTCCCGGGCACGGCGATTTGCGACGGGAATTCGACGCATATTTTTCGTTTTGTTTTTACATTGAATCACACTGTTAACTGGAATTTAGATTTAAAGTCCAATTTTAATTAGGATAAAATGTGCGCGCGTTAAGTCATGCTAAAAATGTGCAACATGCATATTTTGTAAATCGGGTTTGGTGTGACGATGTGCAATTTATTTTTCATAACATGTGACGTTAAATAGAATGCGGATAGGAATCGTATCAATAACACGAAATTTACTTCGGAGCTGTTTTACGATTGTACGCATGATTGTTGTTCCATTCCACATCTCGCGCTTCACGTTTGCTTTTCGCGCGGCGATTTACGCGCGGGAATTCGATATATTTTTTATTTTTGCACCACAGTCACAACGTTAATTCGAATTTAGATTTAAATACACTTTTAATTAAGTGTGTCGGACTTGCGCAACGTGTTAAAACGTACAACAAATCTACGGATGTATATTTTTTAAGTCAGGTCTGAAATAACGAAACGTGACTTACTTTTTTATAACATACGGCGTCGAATATAACGCGTAAGACGAATCGTATTAATAGCACGATTAAATTTACTTTGATATTGTCTTACGATTATCCACGTACGCCGTAATGAGCTGTTGGTGATATCTCGCTACAATCTCCTATAGCTATCTGATGAACGGACAATTAATCATTCCATTGTATGGATTTCATATTCATCCCCTAGTTATACATGGATCATCCTTGGACAATCGCGATTGCTGGAAGATATCTCGACCGGATATCCTTGAGATCGTATGTTGCGAACGTCGCATGCAAACGGGCAGCCATATTCCGTCGCGCGGAAATATTTTTATCCCGGCGTTAGAATTCGCAATTGTGTCTTCTCTCGTCGTCTCTCTCTCTCTCTCTCTTTCGTTTCGCAACGATACGTCTTCTTTCGTTACTAAAAGCTCTTTTATTTCCAGATCCGGACAAACCAGAGGGGTATGACGAGCCGCATTCTCAACAAACGCGCATAAGTAAGTGTTATATCGCGAACGTGACGAGTATTTTTGCCCCGGACGTTTATGGCACACACTGACGTTCCTTCAGTTCCACTCCGCGCCGATCGAATCGGTCGCATATTTAAAGACACGATGAGAGTGCTTCTATTAATAAAAAAAAAAAAAAACATCGCGTTAATAATAGCGATTTCCTGCGGGCAAATTAAATCATGTTAAATTAAAAAGGTAAATGACTAAAATGCGTACATGCAACTACCATGTTTACAAAAGAAACGAATTTTATATTTCGATTGTTCGCCGGATCTGTGAAATTGCGTAAATTTTGCTTTGCAGAAAGAAAATAACTGTTGTTATTATTATTAAGTCTCGCATTATGTAGCAATAGAAATTAATTAAAAATTTATATAGACGCGTGCGCATTTGCATTTTGTTGTGATTCTAATTTCACTGACGCTGGACTTATTTTACTGTCTGTAATATCAGCGATAATATTTTATACAGACCTGCATAATTAATTTCCCGCGTAATCAGCATTAGCTGAATCGGATGTGCACGGTGTGTGTAAAATGAGGCGCCTGTATCGCGCAACCTGAAATGATATCATGCAAATTGTTTTATGAATTTCTTGATCGACACGGAAACTCGGGCCAGCGTACAATTATGCAATCAAAACTTCGTCGAAAGTTCCGCGGATCGCTTTTACGGAGCGAGACGCGTTCTTTTCTTTCCTCCTCCTTCTTACCCTCCGTTTTGCTTTTTTTCCTCTATTCCGAATCTATCCGTCTCTGCTCTTTATCGTCACGCGCGTCATGGATGATGAGCGTAATAAAACGCGCGTTGCGAACATTATCTTGCGATGAAAATTTTCGAAGGTAAAAATCTGCAAAATGCCCTCGAGTGCAAAGACCGACCCAGTTACCAGAGGGATTTAAAAATATAACTTTCATCGCGCCAGCGACTGGCAATTTCCGCTTTGTTTTATCACTCGGAAAGTAGCGGAACCGAAAGCAGTGGTTGAATCGTCGTTAAGATTGCATCAGTTGGAAAAAGCGCGATTAATCAGCCGCGAGGTACAGCGCTAAGCTTACTGATAATTATCAAGCAAAGAAAGCGCGTTTTCTTGTAATACAATCATTACAAATGTAAGCTTTCACTGTCGCCATTAATTCTGTTTTTGGTGTTTCGCCAGCGACGTAACATGAGTAATGCAACTGAGCGCATCGAAGGTTTCCGAGTAGATCGAATTTATCGATCGTCAATTTATCGAATCATTGTTGTCCAGTCGATGTTGTTAAATCGCTTCTGTCGTTCGATACTTTATATAAAATCTATCGTTACTATGTTTACCACCTTCGTCATTTTTCTCATCCTTTCATTCTTTTATTATCGTATCCACGATAACGTATCTATCTTGCATTTCTTTCCTCACGTAAGTCACATAATTTATTTCGAAGTGCAAGTTGAAAGCTCCCATCTGGAATTGCACATAAACACATCTAAAATTGGCTATATCGGAAATTATTAAATGCGGCCTATGCGCGACGGCCGCGATATTATGGGCGAGAAATTACGTTGAACTTTTACGAGCAACATTACAACATACGTTCGAAACTTGAGCGCTGCCTGTTTACCGCTTTAGATAGCCGGCAGCGAACTTTCGGCCAGGCAAACAGCGTTATTTCTGTTGCACGTTGTAACACTATAAAACTCCAGCGGATGTATTATATGAAAGTTTATTACCACTTCTACGTGTTATTTGCGCGTATAAGCCGCGAAGGGGTCCAGCCTAGTCTTACTCGAATTTAATTTGCGTGCTGTTAATATTTCAAACCGACAAAGGAGAACAATTATTTCTGCCCAACGCGGACACCAAGATACGAGTAAACGCAACGATTACAACTGAAATGACAAACACTGCCTGAAAAATATTAGCGAAATATCGTGGAAATTGCAGTGGAACCGATAACTCCAGTCTCAACATCGACGGCGCGCGTGTATCATATCTTTCATAAATAAACTAATACACGATCCGATACGTTCTTGTCACGGCGAGGAAGACGTGTCGCTCCGGTACACCGAACACCCTTTAAAAAATCATTAGAAGTAGCTATTTATTTTTTTTTCTACGTGGCAACCGAGCGACATCAATCACTTAAGGATAAGTGCGACATCGCCCCTGGCTTTGACGCTCGTGATCCGTCGTCGATTCTTCTTGCGAACTTTCTTCAGCCGCTTCATAATTCTTTTAAATAAAGTCGTTTTATTTCAGCTACGTCGTTCTCCACCTTGACGTATTTGACGTTCCTGAATTTACGCTTTTCTTCATTCACTTTAGAACGACAGATTACGAGAAGCCGTATCCCGCCATCTGGGAACTTTCTTAATAACGGACACACCGAGCATATGTTTTCATCATTGATAGAGTGGATTTTCCGGATTTCTCCTCGAACTCACCTCGAGCGTCTTCGATCTTCACGTCCCAATTGGAATGAGCGAGGAACTTAATTATTTTCCTCGCGAAATTATAGTTAAATATTCTTCGAGTCGCTTCGTAGCAGTGCCATCAGCCTAATGGCGAAGTTGCGACTGCGAATATTTTCGTATCGCGACGTGTTTCCGCTTAGAACACTCCGCGCAGTTTCACCCAACTAATAAATATACGCTCGCGCTAAGTTTCTTCTCGCTCTTGCTCGCTTGCTCGCGATATATGCGGGACTTAAAGATGGTCACAGATCGCTGCCGGCTATATTGTCGAAGTTTCGCAACGAATAAATAAGGGGAGCGAGAGAGACGAAGGGAAATACGCGACGCGTCGCGCAGCGCCGCGCGCGTGCGAATAATAATACGACGTAATGGTGCGATAAATTTTTCTCTCTCTCTCTCTTTCTCTCTCTCACTCTCGGCGCGGTTATAATCGAGATCGGCTTTATTCGCTACGCGACGCACAGTGATAGATTTTGGCAATCTAAACGCTCAAAATTCCATAAATGAAAAGTAGCAATTTTTTTTTATTGTTACAATTGGATGCCAATTGTTGCGAAAATTAATTTCGCATCGATTTTCGACACTTTCAGAAAGCATGTCGATTATACGCAAAGAAATTCTCGATGTTTGGCGTCATCACAAGCATCGCGTAAAGATAAAAATTCAGCTGTTATTGCTTATATAATGGATAAATTAAAATTGAATGATAATGCGGACGAAGCAAATTCATGTTGAAAAAAGTGAAAAATTTCGATAACAACTTATCTTAGAAGTGGATAAAATATCGCTGAACATTCGCAGTTCCAGCACACCACACTCCAGCCGGCAAGTTCTGTGGGCTGACAATTCACTCACAACCAAAGAATCCTGTTGGTTGTATGAGAAAGTAGCTTCTCAGTTAGAAAATCTTCTTTATCCGAGCCATCCGTTCCCAGAGTAGGTAGTCCCGAAACAAATAGTGACTTTAAATAACTCATTCACTTCTATCACTGTGCAACGCGTCGGCGAGACGCGACGTATCGTACCGCAGTTGGCGATCGTCTCCTCGCAAACCTCTTTAATTCGGGCGTGACATTCAATTTCGCGATAACATGGAGATCGAGCGGCGCCAAAGGAAGCGCAGAATCCAGATAACTCCGTGAGATCCGAGAAATCGCATTTTAACACTCAGATGTAACCGCCACACATACCGCGGAACGTCGAATCCACGCTCAAAGGTTGCGCGACTCGGCGAATGCGGATCACGGGAGAATTTATCCACAAAGTTTCCGGCAACAAAAGGAGCAGGACCGCGCTCGGGAAAGAAACGCCGGCGAGCGAGTTTACAGTAATAACAGCATAACATAATATTTCGCTAGAGGGAACGCAGTCGTCGCCGGATTCATTTAAGTCTAATAGGATTATCCTTAATCCCGCGGTCCCGCCGCGGCTTCTTCGTATCCTTTTCTTCGTCGACCACCGAGAGTTCAGAGTTTCAAGGGATAGGAGTAGCCCGTTAAATGAGTCTCGACCGCGCTCTTCGTGCTGAATAATGTATACGTGTCTCGATATTTTCATACGGAGCCGAGAGTCTCACTTTCGGCCATTTTTCTTCATCCCTTTGAAGGCATCAGCGAATTATTAATCTATTTCGCGAGCCCGTCGTCAAAAATCACGAAGAAGTCACGAAGAATATATCTCGGACACCAATATCGTTTCACCCACACCAATATCGTGACATCACACACACACACACACACACGCACAGTCTGTGTAATGTCCTCCTCGCGCGCGATTCTTCATTTTTTCCGTCCCTTAATGAAAACAAGACGCACCTCGCGCATGATTCTTCGTTTGCGTCTTTATCATGCGCCGTTGCCGTCGTATTTCTCGCGACGACGTAACCACCCCCTGCATCTCCGTTGAATCTGTATACCGCGCTTGCTCCCAGAAGGAAGGAAGAAAGACTGCGCGGTATCTGTAGGTAAAGACGAATGGCGACCTTGTGCAGATACGATGCGCTCATAAAAGGAAAACGAGGCTTCGTTATGTCGAGCGAGCGCGACCGGGTTTGTAACGGGAAGCTCTTTCGCAATTTATCGTATGTGTAATAGGGAACCGAAGAGTCTTCAAGGCGGGGTAATTTACGGTACACTTTGTAAAGGTAGGTGCACACAGCAGCCACCCGCCCGGTGGCTCGCGCATTAAACGAGTGCTTGTCCCTGCTTTCTAAATTAAAATGTACAAGCTTGACAGTATATCTACGTACGAGCGTGTTACTACACGCTTTTTTGCTACTTCAGCGTACTCTACTTTGTGCCGCGTCGGCAGAGCACCGGCGGTGCAATGAAAGTGGATATAACGCTGGCATTAATTAAAATCATTGCATAACATTCGTCGAGTGTCCTTGATGGCGCGCGCTAAAGCGCTCGCGCCCTCGCGTCGCCCCCGGCGTTTCTTTTCGCCGAGGGAAAGGTCTAGTGCGTTAATCCTGCTCGTGGAGATATTAAAACCGAGGACGGATTGCGTCAATTAGCGGGTATTCGCGATACGTCACGTTCGCTATGACGCTGTCAATTAAAAAGTTGCAAATCCCTTGCGCGCGCGCTCGCTCGCGTCACCGTTTGTTCGCCGTTTCGACATCGCGAGTCTAGATGGAATTTAATAAAAGCCTCTTTGCGAATTATAGTAATGTATAAATGCGTAAGTAGCTGAAAATATTACCGCTCGGTCGCTCGTACGTTGCTCTGTGTAAAAAGTCGAGCGGTAATACGTTGTTAATTAAAATACGCAGGAATATTAATTATCGCGGAAATAACGCCGCGTCGTCGTTCAAGTGCGTCTGAATAATATTAGCTTTGCGAAAACGTCGTGGGGGTTCGAGATCACGCGTGTCGTTTTGAAACAGGCGTCGAGCGAGCGTGAGAAATATTCCGAATCCCATTCGAATTTTTCGGCTCGGGCGCGAGCGAAATCTCGGGCCGCGCGGAGATGGTGGGTGGGTAAGTAAGTAGGTTGAACGCGCTCTCGGTCGGATATGCGCGTAATCTCGTCACGACACGGTCGTTCAATTGCTTCGGCCACCGCATGATATTTGTCCGAACATGACTTCCAGGTTATGAGAGTACAGCGCCAGTGGCGGACATAATGGGTCCCCGGGAGCAAAGGGTGCCGTCGGGTTCGACGATCATCCTGAGATGCGTCATATTGTCGCCGTATCAGACCCGTCCCATCAGGGGTGTACAATGGCTTCGGGATAACAAACTCCTAACATTCCAGGTAATGCAGCCTCAGCTGGATACGCGGGCGCTCTAATGAAATTTCTGTTTGACGACCGGGAATCGGAAGGACGGGGGAAAAAGGGGCGCTCGTATATCATTGCCCCCGACGCGCCGGAGATATGGGTCATACGGCCTCTACCTACCGCGTCTTCCACATTTTTGTTTGCGTGGTAGCCTGCGTCGGCTGTTTCTTTCGTTCGCGATACGCGAACGACCAGGCGATACCTCGAGGCTGCTGATCGATCCCCCCCCGCCAGTGGATGCGGTTTTGTCGGCCGCGCGCGATTATCCCGACGTTTGATACGCTCGTGCGTGCCGCAGCGTTCCCGAGTTGAAATTTCGGCCCTACGTTAAACGTTTAATTTTACGACGCGGTAAGAGCTAAAACAGCGAAATAGCTTCCAATTTAAATTCCAACGATATAGCAGACGGACGCCTTGAATTCCCGTTTTCGTTGTTTTAGCGTCAAAATGGGTTGTTCGATAGGTAACGTTAAAATTAAATCTGTAGAATGGAAGGTTCGAGGGAGAAGTTGACAAACGTCAGTGTCGTCAAGGTAGGTTTCCGTGAGTTTATAGGCTACATGAGTAGACGCAAGCTGTCCTCTTAAGAGCAGCATTGAAATTTCGACTCGGGCTTCTCCAAAAGCGCATATCGCTCGGGACTCGCGGTTTTTCCCCAGCGATGTTTGTCTTCTCGTTATTTATCGCTTTCGGTGCGCGATATCTGCGGGAGTACTGTGTACTCATCGGCAGTGGAACGCGGAACAGGCGGACACAGCGCGCCGAGTGTTGACAATAACTAACATAAACGTGGAACACAAGTCGAACTATATGAATCGGTTCATCGATTTCGCGCGTGTCTCCTTGTTCATTTTTATCGGCTCGAGAGCGTCGAACGAACGCGATCGTAAATTTGTCATTCTTTCTCTATTAGGCTATATCGCTTTTCCGTTCGCTCCGAACTTTACGTTGCCCTCCCGTTGTAGGGCAGTAAAGGGGAACGTATAGTTCAAGAGAAGGCGCGCGAGCCCAGCAACGAGGCGTAATACCAAAATATAGAATGCGAAAACTAAACTCACATTCCCTCCAATTTTTTCCCAATACTCAGAAGCGCGACATCACTCTCTCTGTATTTTTATCGTATGACGTTTCTCTAAAGTTTTTTTTTTCTTTCTTTACGACCTACTTCCACTTTCCGAGTCCTGAGGAAAGCGAGATTTGTTTCTGTGTACATCCCTGAAATATATAAAATTTCCTGTTACTTACCCTCATCGCTGAATACACTCGCTCATTCTTGATCCAGGCAGCGCGAGGAGGGATAAACGTGGAGACCGAAAGGGGTGCAGCACGTACGGTGTCTGTGTTGACTTTGGCGGCGGTGACGCAAGATGACGTCGGAAACTACTCATGCAGGCCGACGGAGGGTCGATCAGCCACTGTCACCTTGGTTGTTGAGGAAGGTTAGTCTCAGCCTTTTGCCACTTGTATTGATCTATCGTAACGAGAAAAGAACACCAGCATGAACAATATGTCTATAAGAATATTACCGCTGGCTGTTCTCACAAAGCTTCGCTGAAGGCACTCGATATTTCACAACACTTCGCCATGCCTCTCTGTTCTAAAGGCAATAGACATTTTACTTTGAGAGATCACGTTCGTTTTAATCTTTGACCCGACGAGCATGTTGAGAGTTTGACATCGACATTGAGCTTGCAATCGCAATATACATAGACGGTTTGACAATATACGTTTCTATTTTTTTAATTCGAATTATGCGCCAAAGGGAGTCCAGTCATTTAGGACCGAAGGAACATAATTCGAAATCATAATTGTAAACGTTTTTCGATTATCGCATTAAATATTGTTCGCAAAATCATCAACGCTTTGGTCCGCCCTTATTATTTCTTCTCTGATTGTCTCTCTTTCTAATTCTGTCTTTGCATTATGAAAAGATAACATTTCGAAACTGGAATTTGGTTGTTTTTGGACGAAATAAAGAAAGAGTTGGAGAAGAGCGGTATGTAAGACAACAGAAAGTGAAATAGAAGTATGCTGGATATTCCGCGGTACATAACGATATAATAACAGTACACTCACGTGTCTCGCGTTCTTCCGGGAAATCTCGCTGTCGTCGGATGTGCCACGAGCGTAGCCGGAAGTCCTCCACGGACGCACCGATATTCCATTTCCTCCTGCGCTCGCGTGTATCCTCCGCGGGGTACAGCCATGATGTAAAGTCGTGCCTTAGGATTACTCGAAACACTTTAAAGTTTTAAAGAGGCGGCGGTATTTCACGCCGGAGCTATTTGTCTAGCTCAGCCCCTCGGTCGCCATGGCAAGGATGAAAAGGAGCGGAAGAGGGCAAAAGAGGGGGTTGGAAAAGACGGAAGACCGCTCGGGCGCGTGTTCTCCTGGACGGCGAGGAGAGGGGAAAACGCGTCCGAGGGACGAAGAACGAATCGCGGAAGGAGAGAAATTGCGGTTCACAGGTAGAACGACGGTGACGAAGAAGAAGTGGAGTTTGAGAGAAAGGAAGAAACTTGCGGAGAAAAGCGGAGACGTATAAACGGAGATTCCTCGCGTCTCCCTTCTTTCTCCGTTTAACCTTCGTCGCGCGTGGTCTCTATTTTATTTTTTTTTCTTCTCTTGAAAATTGAAGAAATAAGAGTGCGGAATTAGATACGAGGAGGGGAGAGGAGAGATAAGGCAGTTCGAAGCACACAATCGATAAAGCGACATTAAGAGGAGGAAAATACGACAAAGCGGCTACCAATTCGCATCTTCTTCCTCCCAGTCTCGCAGGTCACAGATTTCTTAATGTGTCTTTAACGCAGTACAGAGACTGGAATACGCGTTCTTTCGTTATTTCGCGCCCGTTAGAACCATAATTATAAATAGAGAAGGTCATTAGGTTCGATATATTGAAAGTCGTCATCTCATTTGTATGGATACTTGGAGCAAGTAGACTTCCAGCAGCCACATAGTGCTTGGAGCAAGCGATGAATAAGGAAGAAAGGTTAACTATCAAGAAAGAGAGAGAGAGAAAGAAATTAACCTCTGTAATATATTCCAGCAGAAACAGAATATAACTGCTATATAATGTAAAAATAACAGATAATATAACGGTAATATAACGGTAATATAATTGTTACGTCACATTTATGTTGAGGTAACATAATCGAGTTTGTATGCGCAATATAATTGCGTTTTAAAACTGTTATATTATTACTTTATTACATCATGTGATTTAATTAACGAGTCAACCTGATTTTTCCGATTACGTTTCTCTACTTATATCCTGCCCCCTTATTCTGTAACTTTCGACGTACGCGTTATAGACCTTCGCGCGGACAAAATGTATCACGAAGTGGCTGTGTAACGATACGTTAACGGTCGCAAAATTTTCGTTACACAATTTACGGAATAAAGGGCAGGATTTTAGTGCCCGCTCGAGAATTCGAGTGTATTTCGTTCTGTTCTTCGCGCACAACAACCGACGAGGCGCAGTGGGGAAAATAACGTAACGAAGTGAAAGTACGAAAATTATGGAGACATCGGTAGAAGTGAAAAGTGTGTGAGAACGTGCCGGCTGGAGCGAAGCGAATGGCACGGAAAAGGATGAGAAGCCGCGAAGGAGCAGCGCGCGGGGCTGGAACGCGGGGACCGTAGAATCGCGGGGACACTTGAATGCGAAATTCACGTGGTAGTCTCTATTATCGTGAATTTCCCTTCGGAGGTTATTGCGAGGAAGCGCCGGGCCGCGGCGGCGTCGCATTTTTCCCGGGCGACCTCGTGCACGCGTGCGCGCCCTTCGCTATCTGTCCCCGCGTCTATCCGCGCGAAACGCGCCCCGTGCGACTATAAATCAGAACTTAGGTGACTCGCGGCCTCGTAGATTGCGGATTTACGCGGTTTACGCCGCGCCCGAAGGAAGCGCCGTCCGCGCGTAACTAAGCGAAGTGCATCGGCCGATTTTTACGAGCGTGTATCGACGTAAATATCGCGCGAGGGATATGGAAGTGAATATCGCGGCCAGGCTGTGACACACATATAACGGGGGATCGGGAACGGCGACGCTGTCGAACGGACGCTGCCGAGCGTGAAATAATAATGTCGTTTATCCTGGGTTTCGCTCATTCCCTCTCCCGGCGCGCTTTTCCGAAATTATCGCTCGCCAACTTTCACGCGAACGGGTATCGCGCGCGATATTACACGCGATATTGCGGCAAATAATTCGCGAGCATTATACGCGACATTATATTTCAGAAGGGTGGTGCGACACGGGAAAACGCAACTTTTTCACAAGGACGCTTTATAATTTCATATGAACACGGCGAGGGGTGGGGACGGTCAGTTTTCATCGCTGCTTAATATAATAATATAAAAGTGCGAATACACGCACAAATGCGCGAAGGGTAATATCACACTTGACGTGGCTCACGAAATCACTTATTATTATTTATGCGGTCGTAAACACGGTGTAAATACTGCAAAGTTATAGCTCCGTGCAGGATCCTCATACACGTCGGAGTAAATCTCCGAGAGAATGTAGAATTAATTCGCAGCGCGCTGGACCGGGCAAACAGTATAAATTGTATATTTACTCGTTACGTCGGTATTTAACTCGACGTACGCAAGTCACGAGATTATCACGCGATAGGAAAGAAACGAGGAATTTAAACGGCAATTAGTTCGATTCGTCCTGCGAGCGCACAAAGAGCGCTCGAGGATGATTGCGACAACGCGCGCGCGCGCATATGAGCGCATAATATGCAAACTCGTCGAGCCGCGTGCGGAATCGCATCTCGACACGGGAAAAATTGCGCGCGGCAGATAGAAGACCGCACGTTAAATTCACTCGCACGTATCGCAGAACTGAATTTCCGCCTGATTGTGAGTCACTTTGCAATAGCACTTCACTCACACACGCGCGTACGTGTACGCGTATGCGATGCATCAACCGCAGGCACGATACTACTCGGCACTGCCGCCGCGCGAGACCCCGCGACGATAAATCAGAAGTCCGGCCACTCGTTTTCTAGTTTTGCAGATTGCGAATTCGCGCGGTTTATCGGCACGGACGAGCCCGAAGGAAGTGCCGCTCTCCGCGATACGATTCAACGTCGGGTCATTTTTATAAGCGTGCGCGGATGACGTGTAAACATCATGCACGTTCTCGTCGGGACGAGATCGCGAGAGCGCAATCCTGCGGCTCAGTGACTGATTGAGCAAATCGAGAGAATCGTCGGTAGAATAAGGAGAATGCAATAAGATTCTACCTCGATCTCTTCCTCAGAGCGTACGACCTCTGTATGTGTGTGTGTGTGTTCAATCGTATCGAGAATTAAGGAAGCGAAATGGTATTTTTCGAATATTCCCTACGATCGCGTTTACCGAGATTTGTTACAACAGTTTGGAGATTCCACCGAGAGCGGCACGCACGATTTTCTCATACTGCGATAGATATCGATCAACCGCTCAGAGATCGTATCAAAACTTTACGTTCAATCTCATCGACGGCCGAGAGAGACGGAGGGAGGGAAACTTTTCTCTCCAGATGTCTTTCTCGCGAATGCCGCAGGGCCGGCTAATAATCGATCATCCTGCAATTAATTATTGACATGCGTCCCGATAATTGGGACCGAGCTCATAACTATTGTCGCTCTCGAGATTAGAGAGTTGGATCAAGACCATTGAAAACCTTCACATTGCCAGTTAAAGCTTTGAAATCGCCGCGCGCGCGCGCGCGGGAGAATCCATGACGGGCAGAATATTTTATTGGATTTTATTGGAACGGCATTGATTCGATTAACGATTTGGCGGACGCGTCCCGAAATATAAAAGCACCTCGTTTCGTCGGGAAAATTCATAGAAAACGGCTCGAAATGCACGTCAAAATGTTTTCGCGCGAGCTTCCGGCCCCCGGACAGCCGAGACGAGTTTATCCTGCGAAATAATAAGCGTGCGTTAATTAAAACGCCAGAATAGATTAGCGGCGGATAATTAATTAAAGATGATTAGCAGCGCGCGAGGGCGAACGCGGACCTTTTTCGGAGCTCGTAAACAAGAGGGGGGAGGGGGGGCGGAAAGTGGTCCGCCTTAATGTCTTATTTAACTTACTCTTCTCCCGGAGGCGATCTAACATTTATCCGCCGGGTGAAATTGGTGGCCAGGTAAGTGCAAAAAAAAAAAGGAAGGAGAAGAAAGAGAGAAAGTAATTTGACCTTAATGCATTGTCTCTCGGATAAGAGGGTAAAATGGAAACTACGTTTCTGAGTTCACTCGCAGGACACGGGGCGGGATAATCTCCCTACGATATTTCCTCTACGCTTTATAGCGTACAAGAACAATTTAATCTCGACAAGAACTTTTTCAGCGCCTGTCGGGAAAGAAAAAAAAAGGAGGAAGGTTCCGATGTATTAACCGTTTTAGCTTTCAGCAGCGCGCGCCGCTCCTCGCG